ATCATTTCTTGGGCTGGTAGGCTATTATAGGAGATTTATTCCTAGATTCAGCGAGATAGCAGCTCCTTTGACTGACTTAACACGCAAGAAGAGTGCTGACTGTATCCAGTGGTCCAGCAACTGCGAGGAGGTGTTTGGGAAGCTGAAGGAGGCGTTGATAACCAACCCAGTCCTGAGAGCTCCTGATTTCGAGCGCGAGTTTACCATCTTTACCGATGTGTCCAATTCCGAGTTAGGAGCTGTGCTATGCCAGAGTGACGACGGCGGAGACCTTCATCCAGTGGCGTATCTGAGTAAGAAGTGCAGGGAGGCGAGAGACATCTGTCCACCATCGAGAAAGAGTGTCTTGTGATTGTGTATGCGGTGCAGAAACTTAAGCCGTACATCTGGCATTTTGTCCTGTGTACTGACCATTCCCCACTGTTGTGGTTAAGGACTATCAAAGCTAACAACAGCAAGCTGATGAGGTGGGCTTTGCTTCTACAGGACTTTGATTTTCAGGTTCGAGTGATTAAAGGGACTTAGAACTGTGCTGCAGATGCTCTCTCTAGAAGACCAGGTGATTGAAGAAGAAAAATGGACTCTTAGAATGGTTAAAGTATTTAAAAGTTTGTTGTACATGTACACACTGATATATGTGTTTTGTTATGTACGAATATGAAATTGGATGTAAGTATAATTTTTATCTTGTCTAATATTTTATGTCTAATATTAAGCATGTGCAGGAATGTTCTTGGAAAATGTTAATGAATGTGTGGGAATGTCTTGCAGGAAAGATGTTTACTTAATGTTTATAAAAATGTTTATTAAATGTAATATTGTTATCAGGTTAAATGTATTACTGTATTGCTCCTCATTGTTTATGAGAGGAAAGCACTTTAGCTTTCCCCCATAAAACAATGTTAAGGGGGGAGGTATTGTGGCATACAGCTCTGCTCTCACCTGTTCGTCACAGCTGGGCAGGGGAACCTCATCCAATAAGAGGATGGAGGGTGGTGCAGAAGTGGGAGGAGCTGGGTTATATAAGGTGTGTGATGTGTGAGATGAGAGGAGATTGAGTTTGGAAGATGAGTGATTAGAGAGATTGATAGAGAGTGAGAAAGAGCCTGTCAGTGAGGGAAAAGTCTGTGTGAGCTAGTGTCTTATAAACAGTGATTGACTAATTGATTTTATACCTGTGATTTACTCCTTTTATTTTGTGTAATCAATAAACACTTTATTTTGTTTGAAAGAAATACTTGTCCTTGTGAATGTTAAAGGATAGGTTGGTGGCAGTAGTTTTTGGTGAGAAGTAGTGACCACTCTTAGAAGCCTGGATGGGCAGAGGCTTGAGAGTGGCCTGCTACAGGAGCATTTGGTAAAAATAAGAACTTTTACAGATGTGGGAAATGCAAATAAGTGAAGCAATGACTACAGTTATATACCACACATCCCTCTCTATTTAACAGCATTCAAAGGATATATATCCAGATTAGAAAGTATCCGTAATGTCACCAGTTAAAATGCCCTTGCATAATAGGACTTTAAAGACAACAATAATGTTGGAATAGACTTTTTTTTTACCTTACATTCTGAAGGAGCTTGGTGATTTTGCAGGAACACCTGAAGCATTAAGTTTTAGTGTCTGAATCTATTTAACAATGTACTGAAGGGAGAATAGTTCGAGTGTGTGACAGATGACTGTATCAAGGTCAACTATTTAAGAAGTCTCCTAGTCACCGCTTCTTTTGTGCAAAGATGGACATGATAAAAGAAGGTCAACTAGAAGTCTCCTAGTCACCGCTTCTTTTGTGCAAAGATGGACATGATAAAAGACAAAAATGGAAGGGACCTCACAGAAGCAGAAGACATCAAGAAGAGGTGGCAAGAATACAATACACAATTATATCAGAAAGTTTTGGATATCCCGGACAACCCAGACAATATAGTTGCTGACCTAGAGCCAGACATCCTGGAGAGTGAGGTCAAGTGGGCCTTAGAAAGCCTGGCTAACAACAAGGCCAGTGGAGGTGATGGCATTCCAGTTGAACTATTTAAAATCTTAAAGGATGATGCTGTTAAGGTGCTACATTCAATATGCCAACAAGTTTGGAAAACTCAACAGTGGCCAGAGGACTGGAAAAGATCAATCTACATCTCAATACCAAAGAAGGGCAGTGCCAAAGAATGCTCCAACTACCGGACAATTGCACTCATCTCACACGCCAGCAAGATTATGCTCAAAATCATACAAGGTAGGCTTCAGCAGTATGTGGACCGAGAACTCCCAGAAGTACAAGCGGGATTCCGAAGGGGCAGAGGAACTCGAGACCAAATTGCCAACATGCGCTGGATTATGGAGAAAGCCAGAGAGTTCCAGAAAAACATCTACTTCTGCTTCATTGACTATGCAAAAGCCTTTGACTGTGTGGACCACAGCAAACTATGGCAAGTCCTAAAAGAAATGGGCGTGCCTGACCACCTTATCCATCTCCTGAGAAACCTATATGTGGGACAGGAAGCAACAGTTAGAACTGGATATGGAACAACGGATTGGTTCAAAATTGGGAAAGGAGTACGACAAGGCTGTATATTGTCACCCTGCTTATTTAACTTATATGCAGAATACATCATGCGGAAGGCTGGACTGGAGGAATCCCAAACTGGAATTAAGATTGCAGGAAGAAATATCAACAACCTCCGATATGCAGATGATACCACTCTGATGGCGGAAAGTGAGGAGGAACTAAAGAACCTTGTAATGAGGGTGAAAGACGAGAGTGCAAAAAACGGTCTGAAACTCAACATCAAAAAAACTAAGATCATGGCCACTGGTCCCATCACCTCCTGGGAAATAGAAGGGGAAGATATGGAGGCAGCGACAGATTTTACTTTCTTGGGCTCCATGATCACTGCAGATGGAGACAGCAGCCCCAAAATTAAAAGACGCCTGCTTCTTGGGAGGAAAGCAATGACAAACCTTGACAGCATCTTAAAAAGCAGAGACATCACCTTGCCAACAAAAGTCCGAATAGTCAAAGCTATGGTTTTTCCTGTAGTGTTGTATGGAAGTGAGAGCTGGACCATAAAGAAAGCTGACCACCGAAGAATTGATGCCTTTGAATTGTGGTGCTGGAGGAGACTCTTGAGAGTTCCCTGGACTGCAAAGAGAACAAACCTATCAATTCTAAAGGAAATCAACCCCGAGTGCTCATTGGAAGGACAGATCCTGAAGCTGAGGCTCCAGTACTTTGGCCATCTCATGAGAAGAAAAGAGTCCTTGGAAAAAACCTTGATGTTTGATGTTGGGAAAGTGTGAAGGCAAGAGGAGAAGGGGACGACCGAGGATGAGATGGTTGGACAGTGTCATCGAAGCAACCAACATGAATTTGACACAACTCCGGGAGGCGGTGGAAGATAGAAGGGCCTGGCGTGCTCTGGTCCATGGGGTCACAAAGAGTCGGACACGACTAAACGACTGAACAAACAAACAAAAACAGTCACCGCTTCTTACCCAATCTGACGTATAGTACATATTGCATGGAATCTCGGGGTTCTGTGTACAGGATGCTGCCACGCATGCTGAGCCAGATGATTGCAACTTCTGCTATCATGCAGCTGAGCAGAATTCCCAGATAGCCTCTGCCGTGGTCCACCAGGTTGAGAGAGCAGGTCTCATTGGGATTGTACGCCAGTCCAAAGAGCACCACAGAAAGGATTATAAACCTGCCATATAGAAGCCACATACAATAAACCTTCAGACAGTATATTAACAACTAAACACACTTCAAAGAAAGGAGACAGTTTCTTGTGTCTTGGTAGCACTGGGAAGCAAAGTGTCTACATTCCCATGGATGTTTACATTACACACTGTGTGAATAAAGAGCCATTCATGGAATCAGAATTACAAGTGTATTACGAGATGGAATGTTCACCATCAAACCCTACTACATACTAAGCCAGTTGACCTCCAAGGTACTATTGTATTGCTCTTTCAAATTTTTTTCTCAAAACGCTTGTTTTGTTACCACTGATGAAGTTTGGCTGACCTTCCAGTTAACCACAAATGTTATATCACACATGACTACAGGTTTCTGAGATTACAGATAAATAACATATTTAGCTAACGGCACAGCTGTGTTTCATAAATGTTATCCATTTATTTGTGGTATACATTTAGATACTGCTCTGATCATAAAATGCTGATGGTTAGCTAGCAAAGTTATTTTCCACCCACACACAGACTTCTGGATGGCATCCCAGAACACACTCTGTGTTCCTCTGCAACAACAGAAAAATCAGAAGCTGCAGTCCTTTTCAACAGTTCCATCTACAGTACTTTGCCATTGTCCTCAGGAGGTCTAGAAATGGAAAGAAAAGTAAAAACTTGCATGTACTCCCAGAATCCACCAGAGGGCGGAAAATATAGTAGGCACAAACTTTTCAGTTATGATACACCCATGCCAACTTGGCACTTGCCATGCTTGCCAACACAATAATATACAAATGACAGATGAGAACATGCCTACATTATGAAAGGCAATTATAAAATTGTAAAATTTATCAACCACGAATTTCCAAGCTGCCTTAATTGTGCTTGCCCACTCAGAAGATGCCCAGCAACTCACATTCTAAATACATGCAGTATACATGCAGTAGACACACTCATACTACTGAAGTTCTCTGTGAACAACTAAATTCTAAAAATGCAGTTTCAGACCCGGCAACACCATAAAAAGGCATTTGTGCTACTTCTTTTTACTACTGTTTGGAAATTGTTAAAGTTTGTAGAAGCCCACCTCTTAAGAGCATTGGGACTGCCAGGAACGCATCAACACTGTGGTACTTGCACTGACTCCTTTCATCCTGTTAAATCCCAATGCATACACATCTCTTCTCCTGTGTCATGTATCTTTAATGTTTATTTAACATTCCTAACACATAACCCCCCCTCCCAAGGCTGATCTATTTCCAGGCCGAATTCAAGGTGTTGATTCTAAACTATAAAGCCTTAACTGGCTAGGCACCAAGCTATCTCAAGGACCACTTCTGCCTTTATGAGCCTGCTTGAGTATTAAGGTCATCATAAGAGGCCTTTCTTTCTATCCCACCACTTTCACAGGTGCATTTGGTGGGCACACAGAAGAGGGCCTTCTCTATTGCTGCTCCCAGACTTTGGAACTCCCCACCCCACAGGAGGCTAGGTTGGTCCCATCTTTGCTGTCCTTCCAGGCTAAGGATGGACATGCTAAGACTTTCTCTTCAGGTAAGCTTTCCCTGAATGACTGGCTGCTTGAGTGGGGTTTTTAAATGCATTGTTGTACCTTACTGCTTTGAATGTGTTTTGGTGTTACTTTTATATGTATGTATGTATGTATGTATGTATGTATGTATGTATGTATGTATGTATGTATGTATGTACGTAAGTACGTACGTACGTATGCATGTGTATGTGTATGTGTATGTATATGCATATGCGTATATGTATATGTATATGTGTGTATATATATGTATATATGTATATGTATATATATATATGTGTATGTGTGTGTATGTGTATAGGAAGGAAGAAGAATTTTAATTATTCAACCACTCAAGTGAGGTTCCTAACAGATATGGAATTGATTTTGCTGTCAGAGGATTCTTTT